CCAGATACCAGGGATAAAAGCATTGTTTCGGCTTCGAACTGTATTTAATGGCGGATCCCGCAGTCATTGATAACAAATATTGAATTTTAATTCCCATCTGTTTTCCGTCTTTTTCGAAGGTGCGAAATCGTCTCAGGATCGTTCACGATTTTAAAATGCTAATTTTCCACTATCACATCAGTTTCTGAATTGGTTCTCTTCTCCACAAATACTATTAATACGTATATCGCTATTATATCAGAATCATGGCGTCGATTTTGACTAGGACCGTCCACTTTGTAGTTGGAGGTGCTACCCTCCTCAGTGGAGGTCTTCTCGATTGTCCGACACCATTTCATGCTTCGTGTGAAGCAGGAATTTCCAATTTGGATGCCTTGATGAGAAACTTCACAGCAGATGAGCCTGCGCTGTTGCTTCCATTTATTGATAGGAATTCCCCTTTTGTCCAGATGCATCCCCTCAGCTGGGCTGTCAATCGCCTTGTCTATCAAGGAATGCTAGGGCTTGAAGTCTTCTCTACGGCACCTTTACTTCTTCAACAGCACAAAGTGGACGGAATCAGTTCCCGTGACTTGTCCGCTCTGCAAACATCCGAATTTCCATTTCTGCTCAGCAACGTGGCTGTATCTCCTGGAAACAGTTGGTCGGCTTACCAGATCCCTCTATACCTGGATGAAGAGACTGGATTGGCAGTCATGTCTATCTTTAATGATGATGAACTTTATACAGTAGATCAGGTGGAAGCTGCCATTGGTTTGCTCAACAACATTGAACGCATGAATCGACAGTCTGGGTGCTACGGGGAAGACTCTGGACAATATCTCTATGACTCTTATTTCAACGACAACAACACGGCCGCAGATAATGAAACGAAATGCTGGATTCCAGTGATTGTTTTTTCAGATATTCGAGCAATTTTTGAGGAATGGTTAAAGGTGGTCGCCAACCATGACCATCCACCAGCCCTTGTCGTCGATATCAAAGAAAAGATTGAGAAGTATGCTGAACCAACTTTGGTAGACGGGGTTTGGGTAGTGAGCTACGAAATTAGCAACAGTCAGTACAACCAACTGACGCTTCAGATTGCAGATGGTGGTCTCGCTGTTGACAACGTGGAGCTCGTCGTTGTCGATATGGAGACTATTCCAGACGAGCTCAAGGATGAATCGTATGTGCGATTGCAAACGTTCCTCAGCCAACTGGCTAGGGAAGCAGCCGGAAACGATCCAGTGCTAGGCCAATCGATTGAAGTCCCCGTCCAACGCAGTGGGACCTATCGACGATGCAAAGCTGGCAGTTGCGAAACAGGCAATCTCTACACAGATGCCATTCGCTGGTATACGAAGTCTGATATTGCATTTCAGGGAAGCGGAGGCTTCCGAGGTAGCGGATGGGCGGCTGGTGGAGTCCAGGTGTCGGACCTTTGGGGTGCCTTGCCGTTCGATAATGACGTCTGCACTGGAGTAATTTCAGGTGCAAACATGTTCCAACTATTCAACCATTCGGTTTTCAAAGCCACCTTTGAAGGCGAAGATACTGAGAATGGAGGCCTTTTACTTCAAGTCTCAGGAATGAGGCTGTCGTACAATCTGGAGTTGCCAGACGCATCTCGTATCGTCAAGATGGAAATCTGGAATGAAGAGACAGATACCTACAGCGACGTAGAGCCACAGAAACTGTACAGCTTTGCTTCTGACTCCTATATTTGCTTTTCTGAAGACCTCTATCCAGTCTTTCTCGGAGAAGCATCGTTGCATAGACCTGGTGAAATTCCTGGATTCGTTGGCGATACCCCCATTATCCAGTCGGTTGCTGCAGATTACTTGGCACAATTCCAAGACAAACCCTATGACCCCTACATTCCTGGAAGCCGCCTTGTGAATCGAACAGACATACTTGAGCCTCTAAACTTCATCCAAACGGCCGATGACTGTTTGCCAGACGAGTACTGGGAAGTAAATAACTCAACATGTGCACCATGTCCCAGTGAACCATCAGCGGCGTTCTTGAGTGAACGGGCGGAATTCGATGCCAAAGACAATCTCTATGTTGACATCAAGCTTGTGAATGTTGCGCTGTCAAGTATTGCTGTGACGGTCAAGGCATTGCCAAGTTACGTTGCTATCGAATCTGTCACGAATGAAGCGGGGAATACGACAAAATTTAGCATTTTCCAAAAGTCTATCGGTATGCTCCCAGGGGAAACTCTAACCTTGAATGTTACGGTTGATTTTGACGCTCTGGAACCCGGTACTGCTCAAGGGTCAGTCGCATTTGGTGTGATTGACGGTGGGAGCTTTCCGAAGTGCACCGGACGAGACGCAACTTTTGAAGTGTTCGCTCGTAAGTATCCTTCCGAGCAACTAAATCAGTTGGGAAGTCTCCGATATGTCGGGTTCGCTTTGGCTGCTATTGCGTGTGTCCTAGCACTCGCTGCTACCTTATGGGTTTTCATGTTCCGCGAGAAGCATGTGGTCAAAGTCATGCAACCGAACTTCCTGTGTATGATTTCAATTGGTGTCTTCATTTTGGCACTAGCAATCGTCCCAGCAAGTATTGATGATCAAATCCTATCGGAGGAAGCGGCCGGTATGGCTTGCATGTCAGTTCCCTGGCTGCTAAGCATTGGCTTCACAATATCAATGTCAGCCCTCTTCTCGAAATTGTGGAGAATCCACCGGCTATTTGCTGCCACTCGACGGGGCCGAAGAGTCCAATTGAAAGAAAAGGATGTGATTGCTCCATTTGCTCTAATGTTTTTGTTCAACTTCAGTGTTGTCCTGGCTTGGACCATCTGGGCTCCGCTCAAATTCGAACGAGTAATTGTGGTGGACGAGCCTTGGAATTCCTATGGTAACTGTCAGTCGGAAGACGAGCAACTGGGCAATATTTTGACTGCTGTCGCATTCTTGGTCAATGCAGGTCCCCTTGTGGCTGCTGCCTACATGGCGTATCAAGTTCGCAATGTGAGCGACGAATTCTCAGAGGCCAAACGGGTTGGGCTTGCTCTGTTCATGTGGGTGCAACTATTCCTGGTGGCCGGTCCCATGTATTTTCTAATCAAATCAGACAACCCATCTGGTCGATATTTCTTGGAAATTGGATCCATGTTTGTTATTTCTGTGTCGATGCTTTCGTTGATCTTTGTTCCCATCGTTTGGTCGAAACAGAAGCACTCGATGATGTACTCACGGCGGAACCTTGGTGAAGAAAACAATGAGAGTTCAGTAGCAGACGAATCAAAAGTCTCTCATGTGGCCTCTGGTTTAGGTTCGACGGGCTCGGAACATCAGGGCTCTCAACAGTACAATAGAGAGAATCGGTTGGAACAGTACTCGTTGCGCGACAAGGGACCAAAAGTGACTGGTGTCCATTGGTCACCAACACCAGCGAATGCTCGAGAAGAGCCAAAATCCAACTACAGTTTGAAATGATAACCACACTCTTCATATGGAACGACAGACATGGATCCTTTGGATGAGAGCGAACACGAAGAGTA